GTTTTGATATATTTACGGTAGGAAATTTTCTAAATATCTTCATGGAACATGATCTTTACTTAATATCCTAATGATTTTTGGCATAAAAGAAAAATGTATAATTTTGACCCATACAATGTATTGTTGGCTATTGCTACAAATATACCCCAGCGACTTAAGACTGCTTTTGTGCTGCAGGGACACATTTGATGTAGCTCTGCCTGTTCTGATAGTGACAGTAACTGTGTGTCCGTACATCAGACTTTCAGAACTACCTGAGAACACAGACGGGGAACAATACGACAGTCAACATCATCATCTCCACCGTGGATTACCTGCTCCGAGTCCAGGTGAGCGATTGCTCCGCAAACACGTCAGGATCACGCTCTCGTAACACACATCTGACACACGTGTGCTCTGCGTGTCTGCAGGAGTCCATCAGTGACTTCTACTGGTACTACTCCGGGAAAGAGGTCATCGATGAGCAAGGCCAGCGCAACTTCTCCAAAGCAATCAATGTAGCCAAACAAGTCTTCAACACGCTCACAGAGTACATTCAGGTGCGATCCATCGCTCTGCTGCGCTTCAGAGCAGCTCAGAAGTCATCAGAGCACCGAGGATCTCCAGTGTTTATGATTTACACAATGGGGAAAACTGAGGCATCCAGTCATTAAAATATAATTTACTGCATAACGCAGAATATCAATGCAATCTGGCAAATTTTGACTTAATATGTGACCCTGGAGCACAAAACCAGTCATAAGGGTCAATTTTTCGAAATTGAGATTTATACATCAGCTGAAAGCTGAATAAATAAGCTTTCCATTGATGTATGGTTTGTTAGGATAGGACAATATTTGAAAATCTGGAATCTGAGGGTGCAAAAAAATCTAAATATTGAGAAAATCATCTTTAAAGTTGTTTAAATGAAGTCCTTAGCAATGCATATTACTAATCAAAAATTAAGTTTTGATATATATACGGTAGGAAATTTACAAAATATCTTCATGGAACATGATCTTTATTTAATATCCTAATGATTTTTGGCATAAAAGAGAAATGTATAATTTTGACCCATACAATGTATTGTTGGCTATTGCTACAAATATACCCCAGCGACTTAACACTGCTTTTGTGCTCCAGGGTCATAAATGTGAAAAGTAGGGTCGTACAATTAATCAAGTTCAGTAATAGAAGTATATTAGTAAAATGTACTAATTAACATAATTAATAATAATAAAACTACATGAGGATAATAATAATACAATTATTGTATTATTACTGAATAGTAATTGTATAATAACAATTGTTGTATAATAATATAATTATTATCATTTATAATATTTTCTTCATCCATGTTTTCACTGTAAACTTCTGTTGAACAGCGCAGTAACACTTTACAATTAGGATCATTAGTTAACTACTTTAGTTATCATGAACTAAGAATGAACAATACTTCTATATCATTTATTAGTCTTAGTTCATGTTAATTTCAACATTTACTAATGCATTATTAAAATCAAAAGTCGTGCTTGTTAACATTAGTTACTGTGAACTAACAATGAACGACTGTATTTTCATTAACTAACATTAACAAAGATTAATAAATGTGTTGTTCATGGTTTGTTCATGTTGGTTAATACATTAACTAACCTTAACTAATGGATCCTTGTTGTAAAGTGTTACCAACAGTGATTTATTTTTTATTTAAAAAATAAAAATGCAATGTTTTGCTATAAAGGAATTGCTATATTTTCATTTGATTTGAAAAAGGTTAAGTTGTTTTTAAAAAGTTTTATAAATTCATTTGATTGTGACCATTTTTAACGAAAAATGTTTTGCATCCAGAAGAAAAAAATAAAATAGGTTTCATTTTATTATTGTTATTAGTTATTAAACTGTTACACTTTTATGAATTAAATTGACATTTTGACCCTAAATCTCCATCGTTAATCTCAATGATCCTGTTGTTTGTGTGGTTTTAGGGCCCTTGTACGGGGAATCAGCAGAGTCTGGCTCACAGCCGTCTGTGGGACGCAGTTGTTGGTTTCTTGCACGTTTTCGCACATATGCAGATGAAGCTGTCTCAGGTAAACATCCACAGAGATGTTCAACAAACACAGCAAAGCTTCTGCAAATACAGCATGACATGAAGCAGTGGCCCCTGTTTACCTGCTCTCTTCTCTGAGTTACTGTGATGTTTTGCTGCTGCAGGATTCAAGCCAAATCGAGCTGCTGAAGGAGCTCATGGATCTTCAGAAGGATATGGTCGTGATGCTCTTGTCCATGCTGGAAGGTGAGTTCACTTAGTGGATTGATTGACTAGTAATGCTCATGAAACGATCGTCTTTCCCTTGGTTTTAGGAAATGTTGTGAACGGCACCATTGGAAAGCAGATGGTGGACATGTTGGTGGAGTCCTCGAACAATGTGGAGATGATTCTGAAGTTCTTCGACATGTTCCTCAAACTGAAAGATCTGACGTCATCAGACGCCTTCAAAGAGTACGACCCCGACGGCAAAGGAGTCATCTCCAAGAGGGACTTCCACAAGGCCATGGAGAGCCATAAACATTACACCCAATCCGAGACCGAGTTCCTGCTCTCCTGCGCCGAAACCGACGAAAACGAGCTCTTGGATTATGAAGAGTTCGTCGAACGCTTCCACGAACCAGCCAAGGACATCGGCTTCAACGTGGCTGTCCTTCTAACCAACCTCTCGGAGCACATGCCCCATGACTCGCGCCTTCAGACCTTCCTGGAGCTAGCCGAGAGCGTGCTAAACTACTTCCAGCCCTACCTAGGCCGCATCGAGATCATGGGCAGCGCTAAACGGATCGAGCGGGTCTACTTCGAGATCAGCGAGTCCAGCCGCACTCAATGGGAGAAGCCGCAGGTCAAAGAGTCCAAACGCCAGTTCATCTTCGACGTGGTGAACGAAGGCGGCGAGAAGGAGAAGATGGAGCTCTTTGTTAACTTCTGCGAAGACACCATCTTCGAGATGCAGCTGGCGGCGCAGATGTCCGACGCCGGCGAGCGCTCGGCTAGCAAAGAGGACAGCGAGAGAGAGAAACCCGAGGAGGAGAGTCCCGAGATGGGCTTCTTCTCCATCACCACCGTACGAACGGCTCTGTTTGCCTTACGATACAACGTGATGCTCTTAATGAAAGTGCTGTCTATGAAGAGCCTAAAGAAGCAGGTGAAGAAAGCCAAGAAGATGACGGTGAAGGACATGGTGACCACACTGGTGTCCTTCTATTGGAGCGTCCTGCTGGGACTCCTGCACTTCGCCTTCAGCGTCGCTCGAGGATTCTTCCGGATCGTTTACAACAGCTTTCTCGGAGGCAGTCTGGTGGAGGACGCCAAGACCATGAAGGTGTCGGAGCTCCTGGCTAACATGCCTGATCCGACTCAAGACGAGGTGAGAGGAGAGACGGAGGAGAGCGAGAAGAAACCCACGGACAGAACCTCACCCGAGGAAGACCTGGCCGATCTGACGGTGGCCGCAGACGACACCGACCTCCTGTCCGATATATTCGGTTTGGACCTGAAGAGAGAAGGAGGGCAGTACAAACTGATGCCTCACAATCCGAACGCTAGCCTCACGGATCTGCTCAACACACCCATCCCTCCTCCGCCTACACCCTCGCCAGACCTCCGCAGGAGACACCAGGTAACAGTGCTGATGCGGTTGGTGCTAAGGTTAATGCTGTTTTTCCAAACATATTCATTGACGACCACTTTTTCCATGACTGAGACGAGACGACACTGACATCATTACAGTGACTATATCAACATGCAATATCATTTACATTTAGTCATTTAGCAGATGCTTTTATCAACTTAAATGATTTTAGCAAATGGCTGCAATATAACAAAGAGTGAAAAATTTAAGGGAGTCTGTATACTTTCCGTACCCACTGTATATATATATATATACACACACACACACAGACACACACAAATAGAAAAACAAGTAGATATAATAGAAAAAATAGAAAGCTAGTGTTGGTTTTTTTTTTTATAAAAAAAGATAAATAGATGAAGTAGAATTAAAATAGAATAGAAAGTGCTAGAGTTAGAGGGTCAAATAAAGATGGAACAGATGTGTTTTAGTCACTGACGAAAAAAGACGAGACTAACATGTTAGAAAAATAAAAACTCTATGCAACTTAAAGAATTAGACTTCTAAGAGTTTTCATGCTTGCAGTTGCCAGATATCAAGAGTTAGTCAAAGATGTCAAGAGCTTTCCATTGATGTATGGTTTGTTAGGATAGGACAATATTTGGCCGAGATACAATTATTTGAAAATCTGGAATCTGAGGGAGCAAAAAAATCTAAATATTGAGAAAATCATCTTTAAAGTTGTTCAAATGAAGTTCTTAGCAATGCATATTACTAATCAAAAATTAAGTTTTGATATATTTACGGTAGGAAATGTACAAAATATCTTCATGGAACATGATCTTTACTTAATATCCTAATGATTTTTGGCATAAAAGAAAAATCTATAATTTTGACCCATACAATGTATTGTTCGCTATTGCTACAAATATACCCCAGCGACTTAACACTGCTTTTGTGCTGCAAGGTCACGTATAACAAATCAGGAAACTAGATGAGTTCAAATAAAGCATGTGTGAGTGACTCTTGATTTAGTGAAGTGATTCTGATGCCATCTCTCAAATTACAGCAGTCATGATCCGTAATCACGATTATCATTTTTATCAAAGTAATTGTGATTATCATTTTAACCGTTTTGCAGCATGACTGAAATATTTTTATTGGCTAAAACTAGACTTAAATTCCCAGACTTTGTCAGCTAAACCTTAACTAAACAACAAACAGGACAGGTTGACTAAATATGACAAAAACTAGAAAGGACATTTGACACAGGACTAAGACAAGTTGGCACATAAAAGATCCGTTCGATTCCAATCATTGCATGAATCTGTGAGGTTTTTAACTCTTTCGCTGTTGGTTCTGTCAGACGAAGGGCTCTTCATCCTCAGCAGACAACAGTGAAGCTGCGGAGGAGACCAAATCCGTGCCTGAGAAAGCCGAGTAAGTCCGTTGGTGGAAATGTGTAGACGATAGTGTTGATGACACCTGCATACTGAGTTCTGATTCGTGCCTTTCTAAGAGGGGAAAACGGAGAGAAAGCACCGAAGAAGAAGGAGGAAGCGGTGAAGAGGAAGGTCAGACAGCACCATGAGCCTGATCTGCAGGAGTCGGCATTCTGGAAGAAGATCATCGCTTACCAACGCAAGCTGCTGGTGAGAGCCCTGGAGATCTCAGACTCTCTTAGGAGCGATCGCTCGAAACACACGTGTGTGCTCTGACACTGTGTCTCTCTCTTCTCCCGCAGAACTACTTTGCACGAAATTTCTACAACATGAGAATGTTGGCTTTGTTTGTGGCCTTTGCAATCAACTTCATTCTGCTGTTTTACAAGGTAATTCACACTTCAGCATTTTCTTGTGACGTTCATTGCTAGTGAGTAGGGATGTAACGGTTCACTCAACTCTATTTTTTTTTACAAAATGAGATTTAAGACAAATTATGAACTAAATGTGTCCTTTTACTATTGCTTGGACAAAAGTGTTGCATTTATAATTTTGTTCAGTGTACATTCATATAAACTCCTACTCCAATTGTATCGCGATTTGTTTGGCATCTCAACCGATTTGAATCATCACATATTTCACATATTCCGGCTCGCGGTTAATCGTTACATCCCTACTAGTGAGTCGTCCGAACGAACCCCTAGCATGTATATGTGTGTCTGAGCGTGTGTTTGGTCCCGTGTGCAGGTGTCCACGTCCTCGGCCGTCTCTGAGGGGAAGGAGGTGTTGTTCAGCTCGTCTTCAGATGCCAGCGTACGCTGGGATCCTCTGGGAGGCTCGAGCGCTCGACCCGATGCTGTGCACTTTGTGCTGGAGGAGAGCAGCGGCTACATGGAGCCCACGCTGAGGATCTTAGCCATCCTGCACACCGTCATCTCCTTCTTCTGCATCATCGGCTACTACTGCTTGAAGGTACAGGATCATCAGCTTCAGGAGCCTAAACCAGCACAGCTCTAGAAATGATAAGTGCATTGAAACTAAAACATCATTAAAATCAAACGCTGAAATGTTTTATTTATTAGTGGTTTTGATGGATTCGTGCTCTCAGCAGCCAATAATTCACCCAAAACACACTGAGTTTGACAGATCACATAACCTTAACTGTGATATTATTCACACAAGGCACTGGATCTGATTTCCTAATAATGAAAGCTAGGCATAAAGTTTCATTTATGCTAATGAAATCCAGTTATTGAAACAATAAACCTGCTAGATTTACATGAAAGATGAAATGCCTGGCAGCATCAGTCTAAAGAGGTTTTAATAAATGCTCCGATTATAGAAAGCAGAGCTGTGGTGAGTGATAGTGCTGTTTCTCCTCGAGGTTCCTCTGGTGATTTTCAAGCGTGAGAAGGAAGTGGCCAGAAAGCTGGAGTTTGACGGTCTGTACATCACTGAACAGCCGTCGGAGGACGATATTAAAGGCCAGTGGGACCGACTGGTCATCAACACACAGTGAGTGACAGACAAGGCTCATGGGTAATAGGCTGATTCTCACCTCAACTGATTTCAATCAGGAATATTGCAGTAATGAGGCGACCCGATGGAAAATGCTAACAATGGAGGGCAGAGCGATGTGACAGAACTGACTCATTACCATTATAATCAGTGATGTTTACTGCACTGGAAGCTCCCGTTGTCTGTTTTTATGTTTTTGATGTGCTGCTCAAACACATTATTTTCCCTCTACCTCTGAAGTCATTCATTTGTTTTCGTTATATTATCTAGGTTGTCATGCTTGGAATTTCACACAATGTAAAACACTATTAAAGCAACATGTAAATTGTTTAAATCATTAGTAATACATTTAATGTGTATTTTAATATTAAAGATAATTTCTATTTACATTTAATACCATCATTATTATTATTTTTTATAAATTATTAAAATGATACATTATTTAAATATCAATTAGGATTTCCCAAATTGGGGTTCATGAGATTGTAATGCTGAATTTAATTGAATAAATATATAATAATTAAAAATAATAAAATAATAAATCAAATGTAACAAGAATATGAAAAATAGCTAAATAAAAATGTTTAAAATAGAGTAAAATGTTTAGCTGACTGAAACATTATTAAATGAAATGAGATCCTTTACAAAGTCCAATTAAAACATTCAAACCTTTATTTTTAGTGTTAAAGCTTCAGGCCTGGATTTCATAATGATTTTATAAGTCGATCTTCACTGCTGTTGTTTCATGAGGATCTTTATGAGTTATGATTGTGTTTCTATGATCTAAAGATAAAAATTCTTCTCTGTCTCTCAGGTCCTTCCCAAACAATTACTGGGATAAATTTGTGAAGCGGAAGGTGAGTTTGGAGACATTTACACACATACAGACAGATGAACGGCTCTGATAAAGACCATCTGAATTACCACTGTCTCTCTCT